TTATTTGTAAGTTTGTATACTTGTGTTATATAAAGAAAGAGAATGGCCACACACAAATATGCATTGAGTTACAGTCTAAATCTGATTGTCTTTAAACCAGTTATAATAGTTGATGGCTTGGTTCTACTTCTCTTTCATTTACATGTAACTACAATATCTAAATTACTACAAAAATTATTACAAAAATTTAATGGTTTTGGAGGCTTGATTTAAGCCCTACTGATTCATACCTTCTATCCCTGTTTCTCTAATTCATAGAGAACATAGTTGAATTTTTAAAATTAATATATACAAATACTATCTCATATAGAAGGGCCTTACCCTCAGTAAGAAACATTTGTTTCTTTGGTGTCACTTATCACTAGTTGATACTGAGTTTCTTCAGTTTTGACAGGGATCTTCAGTTATAAATGGAAAATTTGAGGAAACTAAAATGAAGTCATTATGCTCAGGTTTTTAAGATTTTAGGAAATTACATCCTTAATCTGAGCCTCTCCAGAACTGGAAACTTTTGAAAAGATTTGAGTTGTGGATTAGGTATGATCAAGTGATAAAATATACACAAATAATATAAAAATATTATAAAATCCAACAGACTGTGAAAACTAGAACACCTGTTCCTAAGCATTTTAGATAAAGTACATTGAACTCATATTATGTTTAGATTAGTATTTCTCAAGCCTAGTGAATTAGTGTACCATCTTCAATAATAAAAGTGCCCATTACACTGTTTAGTTAATAGATGAATAAGGAATATTCGAATTAACAATGTTTGATACCAGAATGAAAGCAAAGAATCGTAAACAGTAAAGCAGCAACATTAATGGAAGACACATAACTCAGAGGTCAGACATTCAACTGCTACACGTAGTATAATAAGCTATATGAGTTATATGTTCTCATTTTCTTATCATTTTCTTTGCTCTTCAACTTCTATAAAGGAGTACAAAGATGCTGCAAGGTGGGTGGTATATATACAATGGCTTTGTAGCACTCTAGAGGAGCCCTAATATTGTAGTTTAGGAAATCCCTAATCTACTATAATGAACTCAATGCAAAGCTACATAGCATTTGCCCTGGAGAAACATATAACTTTGTTTTTTAAAGCAGGCAAACCTATCATTCACCTTAGATAGAAGCTCTGTGTCATGTAAGACTATTGCTATAAAAATAGACTTTTAAAATGTTTAGAACTGTGAGAAGCCCATAGAGAATTCTCTGACATCAGTATGTGCTAGCCACCAGGGAATAGTTTTGCACAAAAGCATACCAGAGAATATTAATTTACCTAGTGTTTATTTTAATCTGTAGCATCTCTAAACACTTTTAGGGAAATAAGTCAACACCATGTAGGTTAACTTTAATGCTGAAAACTGAGTTTCGCCAAATACTGAATGATAAATCCTATGGGAAACATGAAGCAGAAGGTGTCACCCACGCCTTTCCTTTCATCAGGTGATAAACTGCTCACAGAGGCCTGAAACTGCATGCAGCCTGCCTAGCTCCTCAGTGTTCTTGGTGACTAATTGTGTGATGAGAGATTATAAAGTGGACTGTGGATTGTTACTTCTCAGCCATGCCCACATATAATCGTTTCAGTGGCTAAAAAGCATTGCAAAATTACCTCATGCTATTCCTTTACTTGGCAAAATAAGTATTGATAGTTTTTAAAAAGCAGCTGTTCTGTGTTTAATATTCTTCTTTTACAATAGAGAAGAAACATGTTCTCTCATTGAGTTAACTTCATACACAATAAAAAGTCACTCACTACTAATTACATATAAATATGAATTCATAGTTAAGCGAACTTGGAAATTTTAAGTGAACTGTCATTCTCACAATTCAATCATAAACCAAATTTCACTGAAATTCATTCAAAATGAAAAGTAATATTTTTCCAGTGACCAGAGTGTTTTTCATTTTGTTTTGGAAAGAATGCTGATTGGTCCTGTGATTATATTTGTAAACCTTAGATATGTGAAGGTTAGACATTCTATGAAAATCACTCAGCTTCTTCTAAAGTTGGCATGGAGCAGATGAAAATGTAATGAACTGAAGAAATTTCATTCTTCTCTTTGATAAGTGTGAGATGTTTATCAACATCTGTTCTTGCTGTTCCTGTTGTGGTTTTAGAAACACTATATAGTATATGTTTTGTCAACAGAAACAGTATCGCCCCCAGGGCATGAGTACTGGATAATGAGAGAAAAAACTTTGATGGTTTATGATATAGATAAACATAACAGAACATAAACAGATAAGCAGTAGTTCCATGATTATAATCTTGTTGATGATGTTATAATTTTTTAAAGATATGGATTCTCTGTTTAACCCTGGCTGTTCTGAAACTCACTCTTGTAGACCAGGTTAGTCTCAAATTCAGAAATCCACCTGCTTCTACCTCCATAGTGCTGGGCCTAAAGCTGTGAACCACTACCACCCCGGCATGACTATAAATCTTAAGAAAGATAAACATCAGGGAAAATATGTAAATATGTGAGTGAGGAAAGGAATGATGATGAGAAATGTGTTATATCATAATAGTTCAAAAAAGGCTAGGGAACAGGATGGACTTTTACCATCTTTATGCTTGTATTCCACACTTTTACTCTAATCAAAGTATAATATCATTAAATATTTTTAATGAAACAATATCCATGATGCTATATTTATCAATTTTCATATTTTCATTTAACTTATAGAAACCATAGCTATATGCCATTTCCATACTATTTTATGCACTTGTTTGCACATGCTTATTTATGCAGTTTTTATAATTACCATTTTCCACAAGACCTCATGAGATCCACTTGCATTGTTACCCTCTCACTGTTCATTAGCTGTGAAAATTTCTTCTCCATCTTTATACTTCTTTTCGTGACTTCTGGTTAAATATTGCAGTTCAGAGGCTGAGGAGAACAGTTAGTGGATACAAGTGCTTGCTGTGAAAATGAATGCAGAAGGATCCAAATTTGAATCCCCAGAACTCATCTCAAAGCCATCCATAATAAATTAAGTGCCTAGAATTCCAACACTCCTATAGTGATGTGGGAGGCATAGGCACCTAAAGCTCTATTACTGGCAAGCCTGGTATTAAGTAGTCCCAATGGAGATCCAACAACAACAAAGAGAATTCATCTCCAGCAAGGGAGAGAGTAAAGACTGGCATGCTGAGGTTCTTATCTGGGTTCAATATAGGCTATGCTCTTAGACATTTCTCGATCTCCTGTTTTGCCACAGTGCTATTTGGCGAACCTCTAAAACTCAAGTTTGATCATGTAACATAGTTTCCTATTGCTTTTAATTGCACTGCTCAGTATGGTGACGAAAAGCCACATGTGCTATTGAACGCCTGAATTCCAGCTAATCAGAACGAAAGTGTACAAAAGAACATATGCACTAGATTTGTAAGATTTGATCACATAAAGTATGTCAAGTACATCATTATTTCTAAATATATTTTCTTTAATCTGAATGATTTAGATTCATATTTTGGTTCCTTTACACATATCATTTGATGTCTAACTTTCCTTATTCATACCTGAAAAGATATGTCAAATTTCAAATTTCAAATATCTAATACATAAAATTTAATTATTCTAGTCACATTCTATCTATACCTAGCTATTTAATTACTTTGTTACTCTTTTTTTTGTTCAGAGATATTGGGTGATGATTCAAATATGTCACTGATCTTAATATTTAAAAAGCACAGTCTCTCTTTCTCTATTTAATAGCTGGAAATAACCTCTCTGCTACATTTTCACCAGATATTGGTTTGAAGAATCTCTGTGTTTCCTTTCCATTTTTATTCAATATCCTGTCTTAGCTTATTTTCAAAGGATAAATAATTATAACATTGAAGAAGTTTCAAATCAAATAAAGAACATAGTGATTTTAGCTTGTTCTTATGCCATAAGAGAAAATTTCCTGTAATATAATAGTGCCTCTTAAAGCTAAATAGGATTTGAATTTAACCTTAGACTGGAATGGGAGATAGTATCTTCTTCCTTAACCTCTATTCTTTTCTTATCCTTCCTATTTGCAGATATCCCATACTCCCATAGAATTGTTCATAGGAGCTATCTAGGGTTCTTTTCATCAGCTAGACAATGTGGCATGAGAAGACTCAGGTCCCTGTGGATTATATATAGCACAGTAACTTTTTTGTCAACTAACACTCTATTATAAATACTGTTAAGAATATCAGGAATGTGCTTCATGGCCAGAGTTGTCAAAGATAAGAGTATGGTGTAATATCTTAAATGTTGTTCCTGTTAGGAATTTCCATAAACATTCTTTCAGTACTCTCCATTCTTGTTTCTAATAGTTCATTCCTATAAGAAAAGTCTTTAAGCATGAACCAGCATTCTAAAAAGCAAATGAGATTTTTTTTTTTGGCTGATGTCTCTCAATATAAAATATGGTCTTTCAGGTGTTGTGGTCACCTTTTCTTTATAGAATGTCAGCAATTCAAAATGAGTAAAGGATATGGATTAGGTAAGAATTGAATGCAAATGTGTTTTGCAAATAGTGTTCTTTGAGATAATCGCAGATGATGGTTGAAGGCTGATGGTATTAATACAATCAGTATTTAACCTTGTATAACTCTGCTTCATCAAATCGCACCCTGCACATTGATTGCATTAAGCCAGGTCAGTGGTTTCTTGCATAGGAATATCTTAGAAGAATCTTAACAGGAAGGCAGCAGTAGCTGATCAGCTGCTGTTTATTTGCATACTGAGTGTGTCATCAATAATACAAAAGACAAGGTCTTTAAGTTGAAAGAACAGTGGGATTGGCATGAATTTTGCTTAATGGTGCGTAATAAGCAAAGTAGTCTGTGATGCTAGAAACTGACAGGAGCCATTAAGTTAAAACAGATATATGTCTTTAATTTAAGGGTATTATGTAAATCTGACAGGAGTTTTTCCCCTTTATTTTCCTGTAGTTTAACTTTAATTGCTGTAAGATTAATTCTGATTTCTCTCATCCTCCAGAGGGTGATGAGACTGGAGTGATGGATAATCTTCTGGAAGCCCTACAGTCAGGTGCAGCATTCAGAGACCGCAGAAAGCGAATTCCAAGGAATCCAGGTAAGCCCCACTTTAGCTTACATACGTAGTCTGGTGATATGTGAATGTTCTGCATTGAGGCCATCTTCCATAAAAGAAAAGTGGACTTTCTCAGAAACATGGTCTTTTCTCAGTTGATCTTAGGTCATGTGTGAAAACTGAGCAGGCCCCTCATACGTTTGCAGGTTTTAACCTTGTAAATATATCTTATATACTATGTGTTTGAAAAAAATTAGAAACAAGGACTCCCACTGTGTTTAATATTAAATATTTTAATTGTTATTTTATGAGCATGAGGCTTGGGTAGAAGGTAATTAAAAACTATAACTGTAATTAAATCATTAAAAGTAATTGACTCAAGAGTATTATATTAGCCCTTCCCAGATAAGGAAACTAAGTCAGAATTTGTTTCTACAGCTGAGTTTTGGTTTTCACTTAGTATTGTTAATAGTGGGAGAATCACCATGATCCTCAAAACTCAGAGAGTACTGGAGCAATTGTTTGCTCGTTTTGTTGTTTTGTTTTGTAACAGACAAGGTTATGGTATGAAAGCTGGTCACAGTGGGGAGCTGCATAAAGGAAGCAGGACAAGTAGAACTTGGCTTCTGTTGAGACCATGGGTCTGAGAAATTGTAACTGCTTCAAGGTGATCCAAATCAGCTTGTCTCATCACTCTTTCCAGGATCACTTTCTCATATCTTCTTTTCATGTCTTTCTTGATCTAGGGAAAAAAGCTAGGCATGTTCATTTTAAGTTTCCCCTTCTTGTGGTATAAAGCTATTTGGACAAGTAATCAAAAAAGAAAAAGTAATACCTAATATGCAAAAGCTACTTAATTTAAATTAGTATAATTTGACTTAACTAGTTTATACTCCCCCAAAATGGTCTGTGTTTGGACTTAAAGTTACTATAAAGTTACTTTAAATTAATAAATTAATAGAAACTGGTAGCCATTAAAATTCATTAATGGAAAGAAAGAGTAGTACTTAATGCTGAGTTGTCCATAAAAGCTTTGGGCAATGCTGAAATTCATAGCTATATCACATGTAAGTTATATTCATCTTTTTCCCATTTTGGTAAATGTTCTGTTTGGGTAATGGTTAATGTTCCACATTTGCCCTACATAGAAGGCTTATATAGATTAGCTTAGTGAAGATTTGATTGAGGGGAGAATAGTTCTTTGATTGGCAGATGAGAACACTTTATGTATATAAAGTCATTAAAGATGCTCTTTAACAATTTTGTAAAACTTAGGAAAAAAATTTTTAGAAACCTGTTCATATGTTCATAATAAGTTTGTTTTATATGGCAGAGGCTAGGAGAAGTACCCTCAGACATGTAGGAGACAATCAGTCCTCCATCTTCTATCTGTCTGAGTAAAATGGTGACTACATGCTATCAGAGGCTTCTTCCATCCATTAGGAGTAACACTAGAAGTACTAGTTGGTAAAAAGCAAACTGTTGTCGTCAATATATTTCTCTGCTAAGAAACTAACAAGTTGTATAAATTAAATCATGTTATTCTGGGCCATCAAAAAAGTGTTATTACTTTCTAGTCTATATATACTAAGCATACACATTTATTAAACCCCTGGTCTATATATACTAAGCATACATACCCCTGCTTGATAAGTCTCATACCTCACTCTGATTCCTGAGAGCCTATGCACAACAGGGAGATCTTTCATTCAATGGATTTTCCATATGTTTGGTACTTAACACAAAATAGTGCTGTTGACTGTGAAACACCAGGAATATCTTCAGAAAAAAAATGTGATTATACTGATTCCATGTAATCAAAATTGCAATATCTTTTAGAGTGTAGATTGCCTGTATAAGCAACAACAAAACATAGTCCATTTATCTTTCTGATGGTCATTCCTAGTAGCAACAGCCAAAGCAGACATCCTGAGTTAAGAAGAAACTAGAAGGGCTGTGGAGGTAGGGAAGGTGAGGAAGAAAATGAATCATAACCCAAAAACAACCAAAAAGTCCTTCCTGCTTCTTTCCTGTCTCTGCCTGTCTTTCCTTTCTGAGCTTGATCACCTTGGCATGTCAGTTCCGTAGTTCCTTAGTTACATGGTTTGGTTCCATTCCAATATCACCTTGATTTGTTATTCTGAAACTTTCTCCAGTTCTACACTGGAATTCTAGGCCCTTTACCAGAACTGCTATGTCAAGATAATAAGATAAAAGCAGAAAAGCAAAACTAGGAAAAATGCTAATTGCCCAAGGAAGGAAGGAGTTTGAAAAGACAGCCCAGCCCTGAAAATAATCATCTTAAAATACAGCGAAATGACCAGGAGCAATGAAAATGAACCATTCTGCTACTGTGCTTGTTATTTCCACTATCACTCCTCATAGATAGAATTACTGTATGCAAACTCAGAGATGTACCACTGAGGTTCTAATTTCAAAACTCTATTCAATTCCATGTTCAAACACATGAGGTACTAGAAAATCAAAGTGTTGATAAATTATATGATTAGTTGCCGAAATTACCATTTTTCACCATAGAACACACACACACACGCACAAGAAGCATCATAGGGAAATAAGAAAGCATTCCCAATTATTGCCTCTGGTCCATTACATTGAGTGTACACCATTTCTGTTCCATTCTGTTTAGAAGATTGTCCTAGCTTGCTGTGATAAAACACCATGATCAAAAGCAACTTGGGAAGGAGGTTTATTTTAGTTTAAAAGGTACTATGAGTCATCAGTGGAAGCCAAAACAGGAACTCAAGGCAGAAACATAGAGGCTGACCAAGGGTGGTACCCACCCCCCACAGTTTGCTGAAGCCTTTTATCAATTAGCAATCAAGAAAATGTCTCACAAACATGGCCACAGACCAATCTGACTATGTAGCAATCTCTCAATTGTGATTCTATCAAATAACATTGGCCTATGCCTACTTGACAGCTGAAGCACTATAAGATATTTGAGGGTAGACACTCATATCACAAATGTTACTAAAAATATCAATAAGTAGATATGATGTATGCTCTAACCAGTCAAAATTCACAGAGGCAACAGATAACTACATGGATTATACTGATACACAGACTGAATAGTAACCCACATCACAGGCTTTGTTGATATTAAGTTCAGGGAAGTGAGCCCTAAATAGTTATTAATTTGTTGTACATGTGTTCTGTGAAAAGTACTATACTAGACATGATAGAAGATGCAGAAATAATTAAGATAAGATTCCCTTAGTTATAAAACCCTTGTATCTTACTTGAAAGATAAAAAGCACAGAAAGACTACAGAATAATGCTAAAGATAGTAGGTATTAAACAACAGGTGTTAATAATATACTATGTGAGTTCAGAGGAAGAAGATAGCATGCCTTATTGGATATATCAGAAAAATAATCATAGAAGAAAAATATTGAAGAATGAGAAGGGGTTTTAACAGTGGGAGTTGGAGGTGAGGGTCATGGTTGCCTTAAAATGAAATGTCATAAAGAAAAACATGGAGACTAAAAATCAGCAAGCCTTTTTCACAATAGCAAACAATGTAGCATAGAAGCAAAAAGGATATAAAAAGCATAAAGATGTTGAGATAAATCTGAAAAATAAGTTTGTGATACATCATGAAATACTGAGGTAAGAAACTAATGTATTAGCATGAAATCCTTTAGAGAGTGGGAAGCTAAGGATTTTTAAACAATAGGAACATTATCAGTGGTATGCAACATAACATGTAAGCTACAGCAAGGGATACGTGTGACTCTATTACACATATACAAAAAGTCTTGCCTTTTTAAGAGCTTTGAATTGGTTTGTAAAGAATATACCCACTCAGGAGCTGAGGAGATGGCTCAGTTAATAATGTGCTTACTGTGCAAGCATGACGACTTGAGTTTAGATCCCCAACACCCATATAAAAGCTACATGCAGTAGCTTGTGCCTATGAACTTAGAGCTTTAGAGATGGAGGCAGGAGTATCTCTGAGACTCGCTGGGCAGCTGGTCTAGTTGAATTGGATAAGCGAACTCTAGGTTCAGTTAGAGACCTTGTCTGGGGCAGGTGAGATAACTCATTGGGTATGGAGAACTCAGTCAAGCCTGATAAGTTGAGTTCAATCACTAAGACCTTCATGAAGAAAGAAGAGATTTTATACCTACAAGTTTCCTTTAATCTCCCAACTTGGGCTATGGCATTCATGAACAATTCACAAACATACAAACACACACAATAAGTAAGTAAAACATTAAAGAATTTCTAAATAGAAAAGAGATATCCTACCCTCCCCCCCTAAAACAACAACAACAACCAAAAAACAAAACAAAACAAAAACAAAAACTGACTTTGAGAATATTGAGGACAACACCCTATTATTGACTTCTGGCCTCCATGACTGCACATACAGATGCATGTGTGCACGCACACATACACACAGACAAACACATACAGGCAACTTGTCCAAACATATACCCATACAAATAAAATAAATTAAAAATTAATAGAATATGTTTTTAATACTGTCACAGAATTCAGAAGAAATATTGAAGCTCTAGACACAGATAGTATGACTTCAGCTGTAGAGACATTAAATGTCTCCTTAGTGCCATTTGTAGGCTTAGGTACTGCAGCAGTAAAACCAAACAAGATATTTGGCTTGAGGAGCTCAAATACTTTTGGGGAAAACAAGAATGTCAAGTATGTGATTAAATTATAATGTAGTCTTTTGTAATCAAGATAAAAATAGTGCATCCATGTGCCATAGGAATCAAAGAGATTTCCCTTAACCTCTATCATTTCTCCTTTGTATCCTGAAAATATAGCAATTTTTTTCTCAAAATTTAGTACATAAAAGAACCACCTTGCTCTCCCTTAACAATTAAGTATAGATTTATCAACTAAAATGTGCTTATCTTATATGGGCTTTCTTTGTTATATCCTTTGTTACCATTTAGTTTCATTATGTTTATAATTCACGTTGGAGAGAATTGCCATCAATATTCCTGATTTGATCCTAATAAGGTCAGGCATAAGCTTCAGAGAAAAAAAAT